GCCAAATACTGAGAATGTTTAAGCCTAGTTTACTTTTAATAATTAAGGTCATGTCGCTGTTGAGAAGCTATGCATGCATGCAATTAGACATTAAGCTATGCATGAATACAATCTGGAAAGTTATTAAAAGAAAATAAAAATGGATCACTATTTTTGTTATCGTTCAATTATTTTTCAGAACATATATCTACAGAATAAGTTGAAGAAAATTCTAAAATATTTTCTTAATTTTTTCTACTCTTTTAACAACCTGAATAATTTATCAATTTTTTGTATCTCATAAATTCTATCTAAGCCCCAAATTACTTATATAGAGTGATTAAAAACTGTACTTGTAAGAAAATGTATATAATACACACTTGAAATTCTTGATTCTTTTGTTTAACACCTGAATAATTTATCATTTTTTTTAATTTCATAATTTCAATTAATTTTTTACAATTGGGCTCCAATTTTTTAGAGCCGGCCAATGAAAGTGACATTTGGCAATTTATATCATAGCAATGTGCGTTCAGGCACAAAACGCACGATTTAGTTATTGACATCACTCTATCCGTCCAAACGGTCCAATCCCCATTATGTGTATTCAGATAAAAGTTTCTGTGTGTTGTATTAAGAGTTTCTGTGTATTCAGTTAAAAGTTTCTGTGTATTGTGTTATGAGTTTCTGTGCATTCAATTAAGAGTTTCTGTGTATTCAGTTATGAGTTTCTGTGTATTTAGTTAAAGAGTTTATGTGTATTCAGTAAGAGTTTCTGTGTATTATGTATCATATTAGATTATGTGTATTCAGTTATGAGTTTCTGTGTATTTTGTTATGAATTTATGTGTATTTGAAATAGATAATTTTTTTTGACAATGTACTAAAAAGACGTCATTTTGGATAAGGCGGGACACATGATATAACGACCGGTGACATTTCTCATTGCTTGAACAAAACGGATAGAAAAAATATATATGTTTAAAAGGGAATGTAGTCTATTATTGATGTAATTATTGAGAAGATATGCATGCATGTAATTGGATTGTGCAAAGTTAAGTTATGTGTGTGATACAGTCTGGAAAGTTATAAAGTTTCATTTTTGGGAACAATGGAAAGTTATATAAAGTTTCATTTTTGTGGAATAATGCAAAAGTATCCCTTGCCTAGGTATATGTGTAGAGGTGACTTCACAAATTTTGATACTTCAACTAAAAATATGAATTTGAGGACAATAAAACGTAAGTAATACTACATTAAGGCGTTTCTGAAAATTATTATCTGAATTTTTTGTGTTTAGATGTAATTGAAAAATTCAATTAACGGAATATATTTTTTGTTGATCGGAGAAACTCTAGTCATTTTCCGCCACACTTAGAACAAAGTTTCTGACAGAAAACATAAGTTCAGTTTCCACTAAAAACTAGAATATCTATGGTTTACGGCTGTTCTGGTTTTTTATCGAAACCAGAACAGCTCTTGTTTTTGCCTGAAATCAATTTTTTTTTTTTGGTAAATAATTTTATTTTTAATATTATTATAAATATTTTTACACAATAATATGGGGGGAAACCCTAAGGGGGAATCATAGCTATGAAAATAGGTTTTGTTGAGACATGGGTTACCTCTTAGCCTTAATTAATTCCTTGGCTATGAAGGATCTTTCTTTAAGCTTCCTTGCTTTCTTGATTTCTCCTAAGGGGATTCTTGGAGCTCTTTTTGGGGTTGTGGGGCGTTAATCTTGTGGGGATTCTAGGTTCCTCCTAAGTTCCCTATTTATATATTTAAAACTCCTAGTTAGGGCCTGAATGGTATGGGTTTACTAATTCTATTCCTTATAGGGCTAGGGCTTGTTTTAGGGATAAGGGTCCATGGTCCATAGTGGACCATATTAATTAAAGAGAATCCTAATCCTAATCTGAATAGTAAAAGGCCTACTTTCTTTATTCCTAATAGGCTTAAGACTCTTATTCGGGCAAGGGTCCACGGTTCATGGTGGACCTCACTAATTAATTAAAGGTAAACCTAACATAATTAAATCATATTTAATTATTATTAACGGGATTAATTAAATAATTAATCTGGGATTGAAGGCCGTAACACGGGGTGTTACAGGGCCGTCTTAGCACTAAGTCCTATATTTTGGCTGGTTTTGGGTAGTGGTTTTTGTTGGTCAAGACTAGAAAAATGCATAGAATGCAAATTACTCCTAAATAGTAGTTTGGTTTAGGTGTCTATGTACATCTTTCTTTTGTGAAAGCTGGATTATCAGCTTTGTGTAACCTACTTAGTCTTAGGACCAGTAGTTAAAGTCAGCTATTACTGTAATTGGTCTTCTAATCTGAAATGAACCAACTATGATCGTAAAGAGAAGTAAATGCAGTTTACCTACGCAGTGCATAACATTCAGACACATATTTGAGATAGAGATAGAATTTATCTGGTGTGTAGAAAGAATTAAATTTAAAAAAAAAAACCTGAAAAAGAAGTTAAAAATGGCAAGTAATGTGTGTAACTTTAAAAAAATAAAAAAAAAAATTAAAAAAACCTGGAAATCTGACCATTTTAAAATTTTGTGCTTACAGTTTTTGGTAACATGCTTTAACTGTTGAGGAAAAAAGAAAATGTAAACCAATTTTCATGATAGCTGGTTTTAAAAAAAAATGTTTGTCAAAAAAAGATAGCAGATTATTTCATATCTTCATAATCAATTCAGAAACCATAACAAATAATTCAACTTTCAGCATTACTCAACTTAAAGAAAAAAGGAAAAACAAAAAAATATTTACAAAACAAACCTGGAACAAATAAATTAACAGCGAAAGATAAACAAAACAAAAATAGAATCTTTGATATATATATATATAAAGATTGTTTTAAAACAAAAGCAATCAGATTTGTTAAGGTCACAATTTTTTTTTTTAAAACAGATTCATAAAAAAGTAAATTAATGAAGTAATCTGTTTTCATCAGTTGACTCTATTTTGGGATGTTAGTATTTGCTTAGAATACTACAACATGTGACTTGCTCCATCATAATGAAAAAAAATACAAATAGTACATACAAATTGTAGCATACAATACACGTTTAACAATTACAAAGACATATGTGTACATGTATTTTTGATATATACCTATGGTGTCTATCAATCATTAATTTGTGATGGTAAGGTTTGACTATTTTGGAATGGCAGTCAATTAGTCTTAGTATTAATATAGGACAATGAAATTTGCATTTGCATTAGAAATCATTTTGAATGTCAAATTTTTAATTCAAATTTTAGAGAAATAAATTATTTTAAAGGAACAAAAACACAGATAGTTTAGATATATATGTTTGTTTTTAGAAAACACAAATATATGATCAGTTGCCTCCATTTTAAACAAACAAATGAAATTTGTGTTTACAAAAAAAAAAAAAAATGGTATCAGACTCCTGTGTCATCATTTACCTCTAATTAAACTATTAGTATTTGCTCAAACAGAATACTATAGTGTAGCACAAAAAGAAACACAATAAACTGTAACAACCACATAGATAATGCATAGTAAGCAATTAATACATGTACCAATATAGAACAGCTATACACCTATGCCTCTTATGAAGTATTAATTGTTGATGGTAAGGTTTGACTAATGTGCACTATTTTCTGATAGTGACTTCTCTTGATGTCTAAAATTTCCTATCTATATATACATAGCATTTAAGGACAGAAATAAATGCTCTCTACACCACACAAATTCAACAGTAATGGAAAAATTGAAAGCTTATCATGCATGGTAAAAGAATGTAAGCTTTTAAATGCAGATCTAAACTACTGGATTGTCAAATAATATATAAAACATAACTACTACATCCATCGCACAGGTCTAAAAAAGTTTTACAGTACTAGAATATACGAAGATTTAAATCGGATGAAAAAAAAAAAAACATGCATTACCTTGATATTTTTCTGGAGTCGCGATTTTGAAGTTTCGCGATCTAGGGATTTTTGTTTGTCGGCAAACGGTAACAACATCTCGAAATAGCCGTATGTAAGGAACGAAAGAGTTAAGTATGGATTTTGGAAAGGACTGAGATTTCCACAAGCACAAATAGAGAGGCGGAGATAGATTGGAGAGTATGTCTCCAATCTTTTTTGAAAAGCTATATATTTAGTGAAACAGAGGAGTGTAGAGTACAGAGAAGTGATCGGATAGGATTGACTGTAAAATCTAGGGTTAGAGTTGTGTTTCCGGTGATCTCTCCACAGAAGATGCTGCGTCGATGAGAGGAGAATTCGTATGGAGAGGTTCCGGCTGCGCAGCTTTGTGTGTTGTTATTGACTGTTTAGGTTTTTAGGTTATTAAGGTTGGGTTTCCGGGTTTGGGCTGATGATTTTTGGGCTTTGAATATATTTTATCTAATCATTTTATAGTTATCATATGTTTGGGCTATTTTTTTAGGCCTGATTTAGTATTGTTTATTGTTTTGGGCTTTAACTAATATTACATATACAAGAGGGCTCAAGTTGCTTATTTTCAAGTTGCAATGATGGAAAGTGTGTTTCATCTACGATGAATGTTGTTTATAAAAAAGTCTTTAACAATTTGTAAAACCTATATATTAGTATATATTTGTTATAAAGGCAAATTTAGGTCGATGTTGTCTACAATTATTATGTGACAATGTACGTACAATTATGTTTAAAAATATAATTGTTTGGCTATCAGTCAATCAATAAATAAATAAATAAATAAATAAATATAAATATATATATATATATATATATATATATATATATATATATATATATATATAGATTGACATTCATATAGGAACCAAACTTTAGGTAGGAACCTAGGAACTAATCTTAGTCTTTTATCTTATTTAATCAATGGTCCATATTTAATCAATTTTTAATGGAAGATTATCCGCTAAATGGGTTTTAGTTTTGGCGAAGAGGGGTATTTTAGGATTTTACATGGGGGTAGATGCTTAATAGTCGCCGGTTAATTAGCAGTTTGACGTACTTTTCGAAGGTCGGAGTTTATCGCAGTCTCACAACGATAAACGTTCCAGAGAAGAAGTTGTGCTGAAGATAAACGTTCCGAAGGTCGCGTAACGAGGTGAAAAGGTTGGGCGGGAGCGGATCGGAGAGAGCATTCTACCAGAGACTATGAGTCTGAAGGCCGGTGAGATTTCCGTTACTCCCTGGCGGGATTTTCCCAGAGAGACCCATTCTGGGGAGGTGAAGCTCTGCAACGAATTTCCTGTAGGAGGAGCATTGAACCCCCGGCCAAGAACACACATTCGGCTCCGACAAGTTCGAGTGAAAAGCACGGTCGCCCATGGCGGATCGGAGCGCCAAGAGCGCGGCGTGGTCGGTGGCGAGGTCAACAATCGTGGGTGCGAGGAGTGAGAAGAAGATGGAAATGGGAATTATTGCAGCGAAGCAGAAGACGAATTGAAAAATTCATAGTAAAAACGTCGAAAAACTCAAAAGAAAAAAAAATATATTTCGCTTGTCGATTTTCTAGTGTGGCTTAGTAGGACTAGGCAACGCTAGTGTTCTGTCTGCATTCATACTAACAGTAGTGATACTTTTAGTGAGTATGCAAAATCAGTCTAGTTTATGATTCTGTTGGTCGCCCTTTGTCATAAAGTTTTCTTGTATGTGATATTTATGTATGTATTCATACTAACAGTAGTATTGCACATTATGGCACACGCAATTCAACCCAAGTGCACACCAACTTCTTTAATATATTTTCATACACACAGTAATTGATTACATTATGGCACAAACCGTTAAACCTAAGTGTACACCCTAGTCTGTCGCATCAACCTGGTTTTTGTTTAATGTATGGCATATTATGTGTTATACGCTTTCTATGTGCACATTGTGAAATATTGTTATACGCTTTCTATGTGCACATTGTGAAATACAGTGTCGCACATCAGAATTTCACGTTATTTCGTAGTTCGGTTATTACAACATCATGGCACACACGTGTTAACCAAAGTGCACACCCTAATCTATCACATCATCCTGATTTTTGTGCTTTCATACTAACAATATTATTGAACAATATGACACACAGTTCAACCCAAGTGCACACCAACTTATTTTACGTGTTTTCATAAACACACTTATTCTGCATATTGTAGCACACACAGTTTAACCCAAATGCACACCATAGTCTATGTTTTCGTAAATTCAATCTATCAGTGCTTTTGCACATTATGGCACACACAGTTCAACCTAAGTGCACACACAATTCAACCCAAGTGCACACCAACTTCTTTTATACATTTTCATACAAACATTAATTGATTACATTATGGCACACATGATTAAACCTAAGTGCGCACCCTAGTCTGTTGCATCAACCTGGTTTTCATGTAATGTATGGCGTATTATCTGTTAGACGCTTTCTATGTGCACATTGTGAAATACAGTGTGGCACATTAGAATTTCATGTTATTTTGTATTTCTGTTTTTACAGCATCATGGAACACACCCGTTAACCCAAGTGCACACCCTAATCTATCACATCATCCTAGTTTTCGTGTTTTAATACTAACAGTGTTATTGCACAATATGGCACACACAGGTCAACACAAGTGCATACCAACTTATTTTACGTGTTTTCATACACACGCTCATTTTTCATATTGTGGCACACACAGTTTAACCCAAGTGCACACCATAATTTATAACATCTTCGTGAATTCAGTCTGTCAGTGCTTTTGCACAGAATGTAACACACGGTGTAACCCGAGTGCACACCATAGTCCATCACATCATTCTGGTTTATGAGATTTCATTTTGTTAGTATCACTGCACATTTTGGCACACACAATAAACCCAGGTGCACACCGATCTGTACTATGTCTTTTCATACACACACGAATTCTGTACATTATGGCACACACAGTGTAACACAAGTGCACACAGTGTACATATTACTTTGGAAGATTATAGGTATCGATGCCTTGATCTACGTCGGCCACAAATGAGTTCCAACATATTCTTGCAACATAGTGTGGTGAAACTGATGCGAAGGTACTTGGAGGATGAGCATGGTTTTGTGGAGGTATTAAGCCAATGGTGCCATTTGAATCTCTATATCAATGCATGATGTGATGCACCCCCATATTTTTTCTTTGTTCTCTGTATTGTTCTTGACCTTCCCCATGGTTGTAAGGTAGACTCCAATGCTCGTCGATGATGGTGTGGCATTGTCTATGGCTCCCTCCGATTGCAATTGATTTGTTCGCGTGTGATTCCCTTCCCAGCAGTGCATGTAGAATCTCAATGCAATATGACTTCTTCATCATTTTAAAATCCTAAAATCATGGAAAGAATCTAAATAAAATATTCCCTTTTAATTGGTAACTGAATAAAATTACACTAATATCCTTTCTAATTAATTATATTTGAGATGCACATTAAAATGCTAGATTATCTTGATCATTAATTAGGTAAATTTGGATGGATTAGATTAGTTCTTAAGTTCCTACCTAACAAAGAGTTCTCACTTGAAGGCTCCCCTATATATATATATATATATATATATATATATATATATATATATATATATATAAAAGACGTGTCTAAAATTATTCTATAAAGATATTAATTAATGTTTACATATTTTTATGTTCTCAATAATTATTACGACTTTGTATAAAGATATTAATTAATGTTTACATATGTATTCTTATACCGTGTATCGCACGGGTGGAGTACTAGTTTCTTTAAAGGATAAAGATGGAAAAAAAATTAGGAAGCTATGAGCTTATTTTGAAACGCTACCTATAGTAACGTTTCAAAATAAGCTCTTATTTTAAGCTAGGAGCTTATTTTTGGAACATTACCAAACAGAGCTTAGCTTATTAGTAGCTTAAAATAAGCTTTAAGCTCCTAAATAAGCTCTGTCAAACAGAGTCATACTATGAACAAAAATATATATGCATTTAGTATTACTCTTTAAATAAAAGGAATTTCTATTTGTGTTGTATGTCTAGTAAAATTGTAATATATGATTATCACTATATACTACATATGACACATTAAAATTTTCTTGAATAAATTAAAAATAGTATGATATGATTTGACATCTCCACATAAAATTATAAAGTAATATTTAGGTTGAGATCAAGCATCCACTTGTTAAATCACCTTTTCTGGTGAAGCTAGGGTCTTAACTTGAGCATATATCTTATCTATCATTTTGTGCTTTTATTGAGAGGGTGGTGCGTGACAAGAAAGACTACCTGAAAGGGATTTCACCGTATTTGATAAGGTTCAAACTTTAAAGGAAACCAAGAAAATCCAAAGTGATCGAAACCCATCTAGAGTGAGAATCATCCCCTCGTCTGATGCTAGTTTAGTGGAGGGCGGCGACTTAACTAATCACTATTTGGTCCTTGGTAAGGTTTGTAGTGAAGTCGTCCAAAGAAAAAAAAAAATGCTACCTACTAGTATTGAGAGGAGTTTAGAGTACATGTGAGTTACCATAGTTGTTAGCTTTTCAAGTGATAGTGGGCAATGTACAATCTCACATCGGCCCCACAAGAAGTTGTGGAGTAGTACTTATGTCAGGGTCAAACTATCAGGCTGTCCTTACCCCTGCAAACATCTCCCACTCTAAAAAATGGGTCTCACTTCCACATCATCCCATTTGCAAATTATCTACTATTCACACTACATCCCTGCAAATCCAATCAACCTCCAAAAGTGGGCCCCAATTTCACATCACTTTAAAAAATTAATATTTTTTTCTTAATAAATATTATTTTGTCTTCAACATTATTTATTTATATCAATATATAACTTATATTTAAATATTAAATATAACAAATGTGAAAATAACTAATTACGTATGTATTAATGGAAAAACTAAATGTATGTATTAATGAATTAATTTATGTATAGTAATATAATGAATGTATGTATATCAATCTTACAAAAAAAATGTATCTTTATCAACATAAATTTTAGACACGTAATTTTAAAAAAATATTACACATTAAATATAAAAAAATTAATAACGCAAAATACAAGACAAAATACAAATAAAATAAAATAAAGAAAACAAAATTAAATAAACTAAATAAAAAACTAAAAAAAAAAAAAAACTAAAAAAAAAAGTACAAAAAGCTGCCGCATTTGTGGCAGCTTTTTGTACGGTCACCTCACTATTTAAAAAAAAAAAAAGAAAAAAAAACAAAAAGCATACATGGCATTGTCCAACTCATCTTGCCAATATGATATTGGCAGGGGTAAGGACAGCCTCACTCTCGATTCAATTTTGCAATAGAGTTAAAATTTTAATTCGAGTACAATGTTTATCTTAATAATTTAATTGTGCTAAGCAATATAAATAGGAGGGGATAGGCAGTGGAGTCGAGATACCAAACAAATCAGAGAATTGAATCAACTCAATTATTGCTGATGAGAGATGGAAAAGGTGATATTATTATTGCTGCTCTTCTCTCTCAACTCTCAACTAACCATGGGAGAAGGAAATGTAACAACAACAACAGGACGGATTTCAAAAATCTGCACTCAGATACTCAACCTTGGTGACAACCAAGTCAAACCTCTTGGCGATGAAGATGGTAATTAAGTGCCCATAAATATTCTTTTTCTTTAAATTACACACACCAATATAATATTCTGAGTTTTTTTATTTTTTATTTTTCAAATATGATATTTTCAACATATATTTTTAGCATGTCATATGGACTGTAGACATAGTGGGTGTGAAGTATTGAGAATTTTTTTGAATAAATAATAAACTAAAACTGTTATATATGCATTGATTTTTATTTAATTTTACTTTTTTGTTTCTCACTACTGGAAATTCTGAAATTTCCGACCACCTGAAAATGATCTTAAATTAAGTTGATATCAAAAAGTCCAAAAAGTGGTCGGAAATAGCAACAAAGATTTTTCCGGATACCAAAAGTGGTCGGAACAAGACTTTCAACTTGATTTAAGATCACTTTCAGGTGGTCGGAAATTTCAGAATTTCCAGTAGTGTCTCTCTCACATATGCCAGAGAATGCCATCATTAAGTTGCTTGGATGTTCACTGAGTTATTATAGCTCGTCTATTTGCGAGATTCAAAGTTTAGATCGGGTTACTTGCGACTGCAGTCTCGATATGAAAGTTTGCCGAGTGACAAAAATGTAGTATATATATTCATTTTATTTTAATATTTCAAATAATATGATTTTCTCTTTTGCATGACATTTGGTTAGCAAAATAAGGAGATATTTATTCCCAGCTAAGTTGGTCAAATTATTGATTTACTAATTACAAGGTTTTATAAGTTCAACTCTAAATCGGAGCGGCCTATTATGATCATTATTTGCCGGTTAGGAGTAACTAAAAATCAACGTAGCTATATATATGCTGACATTTTGATTATTATCTTTAACTGCCTGCATGGGTAGGTGAAATTTGTTACAAAAGATCAAAGGATCCAATTTCACTAGCAGCACCGTGGCAACAACCTCTTAAAATGAGGGGCTCTTTATGTGCAGTGAGTAAAAGTCTAGCATCCGTTAATCACTTGAGTGCAATGATTAAGAGATTTAGTGAATAAGTTAGCCTCCTTGTTTGCAGTAAATAAAAGAGATTCATTTAATATCATAAGTTTACCCCGGGCTTAGTATAGTAGTTGGTTTGTTGCCTCACTTAAAGGTCATGAATGGAGGCGGCAATGTAGGGGTTTGAATCCCACTAGAAACTAATTGCGCTTGAGATCACCTAAGTTTTTTTTTTTTTAAAAATAATAATAAATAAAAGAAATTCACTATAATATAATAACTTTATTATGGGATATTAGATGATAAGTAACAAAATTATTATTAGGAAAAATTATAAAAAATGCCCCTCTATAATATGTCAATTATCAATGTCACCCTAGAATTATGAGTGGTGTAAATGTTGCCCCTCAATTATCAAAACGGTGCACATATAGCCCCTCCCGTAACGAACATGTGGTTCCCTATTAGTGTACGACACCGTTAAGTCGGAGTAAATATGTAATTTAGTTGTTTTTTCCCTCATTCGATTCGAAGTACCAGCGATGGACAACGGTGGTGAACCACAGGTCCGTTACCGGAGGGGCTATATGTGCACCATTTTGATAATTTAAGGGCAACATTTACACCACTCATAATTCAGGGGTGACATTGATAATTGGCATATTATAGATGGGCATTTTTTACAATTTTCCATTATTATTATTATTATTATTATTATTATTATTATTATTATTATTATTATTATTATTATTGTTATTATTATTGTTATTATTGTTATTATTGTTATTATTATTATTGTTATTATTATTATTGTTATTATTATTATTGTTATTATTATTATTGTTGTTGTTGTTGTTATTATTGTTGTTATTATTATTATTAGTGGTGTTGTTGTAGTTTTAAAGTATTTTTTATTATTTAAAAATGATTTAGTAATATACGCATATTATTATATTGATTTTACACATATAAGTTTACTATAATAATATACCTTTATGACATATATTTCCAAAAACATTTTTGTAAAAATAATTCATTAGAAGCAAATATATACAACAATTTTTAAAAATAAAAATTTTTTATTATCAATATATTACTAAAAAAAATTCTAATATTTTAGAAAACTATAAACAATGAACACTTGAACTCCGATCCACCTTATCTTATAATTTTTTTTAATTAATTTCAGTCAAATTTCGTTAATTAAACGAGACATATAACATAGGACAAAATATATATATATATATATATATATATATATATATATATATATATATATATATATATATATATAGCTTAGAGGGATTATTACTATTTATATTTTTTTGTAAAAAGAAATCTTTAAATATTTAATTTTGCAATGGCATGGTGGGATGCGATTCAATATATAATGGTGTATAAACCTATACACTAACGATACATAAGATAGTTTATGTCTTTTAAAACAACCACTTGTTTTCTTATTATATACTTCAATTTGTTACCATTGTTTTTCCTAACTCTGTATTGATCCAATTAGCTATTTAATCCATTTATTATCTAAATCTTGATTACTATTGATTTTCCTGCAAATATGTTGTAGTCGTTTTACATATCGGAGTTTGGAAGGTAAATTGCCAGAAATAATCGAAAATCTTACAAATTTAACCTCACTGTAAGTACCCTGCATGAAATAATATAATATGTACTATTATTATGTTACATTTCATTCTTAATAATTATTACAAAGTAGTTAAGTTATGCATGCATTGAGTTGTCTCTGGTGTATTTGTTATAGAATGTTGTATGGAAACAAGTTTTCGGGCGAGATTCCAATGTCTTATGCAAATTTAAAGAATCTCATACATTTGTAAGTATTATTAATATTCATCTGATCTCCTTTTTTTTTTTCATTTGGTGCTTGACATGATGATATGAGAATGATGAGTATAAACATTTTTTTAAAAATATTGTATTCTCTTCTATAATTGATAGGGATCTTGAAGGCAACGAATTGGAAGGATCAATACCCCCGTTTCTTGGTAATATGAAGTTGAATTTCTTGTAAGTCAACACAACACTCCCCTTGATAGGTAGAAGAAAATATTTTATTACTCTCGGTGGAAGCTATTTATTGAACTTCTTATTTTGAGTTGATCAGTTAGGGGCAATAATTTAGTTGGTTTACCTCATTGTAATCCTTTGACGTCTAAGGTATAAGACAAAATTTATCTAGTGTATACCATTGAGTAGTGAATACGGGTTTTCCTCGTCACAACAAACAAATAAGGAATGCGAAAAAAAAAAAAAAAAAAAAAAAAAGTGATATTGTGTTTGGTTTGCTGAATAGGGTAAACATGTAATAGTAGTTTTGGACAATAAAAGTACTCTTTGATAGGTAATAACATATTTCTTTTTCATTTAATCATTTCTTAAATCAACTGAACATTTGAATATAATTCTTGAGATGAACAAAATAATGAAAAGCAAGTCTTATTTCATCCTCCCTCAATTATATTCCATTTCTTCTTGATTTTTATTTCTTTTTCTTTTTCTTTTTTTGTGAACCAAACATCTCATGAGTGGTTGTTATTGAAGAATTTTGAAATATATATCTTACTATATTAAATGAAGGTTTTGTAAAGTATGTACGTATAGCATTTCATTGATTAATATCACTTATTTTTATTATTTTTAAAATTAAGAAAAAATAATAAACTTTCAATTTACTTAAAAACATTCAATTATATCCTTAAATTAAAAAAAAAAAAAAAAAAAAAAAAAAAAAAAAAAAAAAAAAAGGGCGCTTCGTCTTATGTACAGCTTAACTAAAAAACTAGTACTTTTAATAACTTTGTAAATTGGCAAAAAATTAACAAAAATGTCCCTTGTTTTCTTCTTTTGGCAAAAATATATTGTAATGTCTCATTCACATAGGTCATTAATGTATTACATTGTTATTATATATATAATAATATTAAATATAAAGTCATTTAATATAAAGTTATACATTTAATATTTAGTAAAATAAAATTTGTAAAAGTTAATAATATTTCTCCTTATATTTTGTGTGTAAAAGGGGGTCCTTTTTATCAATTTTCTTCAACAAAAAAAAGGTTGATTTTTATTAATTATTTTTAATGTATTAAAAATGTGGATAAAGATCAAATAGACTCTCCAACTTTATCTCAAAGTGCAATTAAACACTCGAACTAGAAAAAAAAAAAAAAAAACTTCCTATTAAACTCTTAAACTGATTAAAAATGTGCAATTATCATTTTTAACAAGATACTAAAAGGTAACCAGTTAATTTGCTTGTTTGGCGTCAACATGGCATTTCATTTAAAAATTTAAAAAGAAAAACAAATAAAAGAAAATAGTTATTGGCGGCGGATAAGCTGCTGGATTTATCCGTTCAATTTCTATGTAACATTTGAACAGAGAAGCTCGTTGACTTCTCTTCTCCGTTCATGGAGAAGATAACAAGTTTCTCCGTCTAGACGAAGAAGCTCACTGGCTTCTCTATGAACGGAGAAGAGAAGCCATGGTTTCTCCGTTCATGGAGAAGCCAACGTGTTTCTCCGTCCAGATTTGGACGGAGAAGCCCGCTCGCTTCTCAACGGAGAAACCATGGCTTCTAGTCCATGGCTACATGATGGGCAAGCTGTCAGCTTACCATGGCATTGTTTTTTTTTTTTTTTTTTTTTAATATAATTAATGTAATTTTTTTAGGGGATAATTAATTTAATTTTTAAAAAAATAAGTTTAAAAATATTAATTGAATGTGACATCTTACGTGACAGGTGACTTGAAGGTAACATGCTATTATTGGTCAAATTAAATAGGTTAATTGCACTATTCTAACAAATTTAAGAATTTAATTGAATGTTATTTTAGTTCGAGAGACTAGTGGTATAAAGTTGGAGGGTCTATTTGATCCTTGTCACATGTTCTTTTCAAGATGATATGTATATTTGTTTATAATTATTTTTTTTTGAGTTCAGATAATTTATAGTATGTATCTTTACTACTAAACAGTAGTTCAATAGTTTTCCATACTCTCATTTGTATCTTTTAAAGTATTTTGCTAATTGAAAAGGGTTATATTTTACATTATATATACATAAAAATAACCAATTGACTTATGATCCATTGGTATTTGATTGGTCTCTTATGTGGGAGGTCTAAGATTTGCCCTTCCTTTGTAATAAAAATATACATACAAGTAATTGTTTTTTTTTTTTTTTTTTTTTTTTTTTTTTTTACCTTTTTTTATATTGGTATATATGTCACTTTCAGATGTTATATATTATAAATATCATGCATGTGATTAAACAAACTGATCGATATGAGGCCTTATTTGATTGGTTAATTAATAACACTTTTATTTTAATCTTTTTAAAAATTTATTGATAACCTAGTAATTAAAATAAATTAATTTGGTTTCAAAAAATAAATTAATTTAATATTTATTACTTTGGTAGTGGAATTTAATTCAATTTACTCATTATCAGTATATAGAATTTTATTTTAAAAAGTATATTAAAGTACTAATAAACAAAAAAAAAATTAATTTAGCGTTAGCATATAAAATTTATATATTTAGAAACTACATTTCAATTACTATTAAATACCCAAAAAATTAAATTTAAAAATTATAACAAAATGTTAAAGAAAATAAGAAGAACAAATGATTTAACCAATAAATAGTAAATATAATAGGTAAAATGAGACAAATGAATAGTTAATTTAACCAATAAATAGAGAAATTTGATAGAAAAATGGGATAAATAAATAATATTAAGTCCCATATGGGAGAAATTTGATGGCACCCGGGTTAGATTCCCATATGAGAGGTTGTGAGTTCGAGCCTCAATGGAGGCGTTATTAGCCCTTTGTGCTTCATTAGGTTGAGAAAATAGTTATGAACAGATACTACATTATAACAGAGTCAGTAGCATTCAAAAATAATATTAAGTCATCTAATATAAAATTATCTATTTCATATTTAATAAAATAGAATATGTAAAATTATCTGCATGATTCTTTTTGGATATGATTATGTTGTTTCTAAATGTTACGAGTATATATTACGTTGTCTGATATGCATTTGTTGTTTTCAACACTAGGGATCTATCTGGTAATTCATTTGGCGGTGAAATTCCAACTCAATTGGGTTCTCTTATAAATCTAACGTATCTGTAAGTATATGAGTAATTCATTTACATATTTGGTTAATTAACTGGGGAGAGTCATTGGCAAATTATATCATGGATCAGGATCTACCTTGCATTGTAGACCCTGGTCCAAAAATAACTTTCAGACTCTATATCTATAGTTAACACATTCTATATCAGTAGTTGATAGTTTTTGTACATGTATCTATCATATTATGTATCAACAATTATTTAAAAATAACCTTCTGATTACGTATCTATAGTTGACACATTTTATACATGTAGTTGATAGTTTATGTACTTGTAGCTATCATATTATTTGTCAGCAATTATCAAGTTATTTGTTTACATGTACAAAAACTGTTAATTGTAGGTATTTTATATATATATATATATATATATATATATATATATATATATATATGTACACATTTTCAATCTAATAAGACTAATATCTTATTTTTGGGCCAACAACTATATCTTCATAAAAAATAAAAATAAAAAAAGGGGGGGTGGGGGTTCAAATTATTATGTGGACCACGGTCCACACAGTATTGTGTGAACTATAACAAAAAATATATTTTAATGTATTAAAAGTACATTATTCATGTACTGAATGTTCATTACACAAAATAATGTACTTTTAATACTCAAATAATGTATTTTTCCTGAATACAATTTACATTTTTAATATATTAAATGTACATTATTTGTGTACGGAATATACATTATTTGATAGTATGGCCCACACAATTGTGTGGACGATAATGATTGTTAAAAAAAGTATTACATTTAACCAATATATTTTAAAGAAAAAATATTTTTTTTTTAGTAAATTGAAAAATGTAAAACTTGTTAGCCCATATAAAAGTATTATATTTTTGTTTTTAAAAAAATCACATATTTCACTTAAAACAGTTTCTCATAAATTTTTGTGTTATTATTAACTAATTGAATAAATCAATAAAACTTTGTCTAACATGTACTTGTGATTTCCACTGTAGGGATTTATCTTCAAATCAATTCCGTGGTTCAATTCCTACTCACTTGGGTTCTCTTGTGAATCTAAAGTCTTTGTAAGTATATGAGTAATTTATTTACTCATTATGTTAATTGAGATGCAATAATCACTTTATCTTGTTTATTATTTAATTTCTTTTTAAAAATAATGCACATCTTCAAATTGATATCCTCTTTTTAATTGGGTTAACAATTATTGCTTCTCGTGGAAAGAATAATACTTTTTTAGTAAACTATAAAATGTAATACTTCTTATAAAAAATTAAATTATTACATTTTTGTTAAAAAATACTGATCAAAATATCTATAAGGTCCATGTACTAACGGTGTTAAAATGAATGTTAGTTTTGCTGATGTGAAATTGACCTTATCATTGCTACATCAGTCTAATTGATGATGCCATATCTTATTTTATTAATATTATAAAAATAAGTAATTACATCTCCAACATATTTTATTAATATGATTCCAAATTATACAATTACAATGCCTTTGAAGGACTTGAACTCTTGAGCTATTTCATAAATAAGGTTACTCATTCCCACTTTACAAAATATTCATTTTGTCAAACTATTTGCAAACATTAATTAAAGAACATTTAAAAATAAGTTCAGTAGAAAATTTTGATTCTACCAAAAAAATTCATAAAATTAAGAATAAATTAATATGTACAAATATTTGTAATTTATATTGATAAAATTAATAATGTATAGTGAAATTTTTAATATTTCAACTTATTCTGGTATGTAACTTTTTAACAATTAACGTTTTAAATAAATGAAATTAACATTAGAAATATATATAATACAATATTGTTAATGTTAAATCTTTTTTTTTTTTGGTACAATACTATGTGGTCTAATGGTACTCGGGTTGGACTTCCATACTACAATGTAATAGAGCCAGTAACTTTAAAAAAAAAATCTTTTTTTTTTGAATAAATTATGTAATATATATGCATTTTAATACATTTGGCGATCCAATACCAACTCAGTTGGCTTTCTTAAAAAATCTAGCATATCTGTAACTCCTGTAAGTATATGAATAATTTATTTACATATATATTCTATTAAGTATCTTTTAGCTTAGTTAATTGAATAAATAAATGAAACTCCGTTTAAAATGCACTTGTGGTTTCATTATAGGGATCTATCTAGTAACTCATTTGGCAGGCCAATAAATTACTCTATAAGTATATGAGTCATTTATTTACATAGTTTATTAGTTTGTTTATTGTTTAATTTCTTCTTCTTTTTTTTTTTTTTTTTTTTTTTTTAAAAGTGTGCCCATTTTCAATTTGATATCCTATTTTTAAGTCATCAACAACTATTACATCTTCGGTTAAAATATATCAACAATACATTTATAAAAAATAAAAAATAATAATAATAATAATTTTTAGTAAACTAGAAAATGTAAAGCTTGTTAGCTCACATAAAAGTATTACATTTTTATTTTTTAAAAGTTACATATTTGAGATGTGTCTCACGTGAGGTGGTTTCTCATAAATATTTTTATTATTTATTAGCTAAATTAAATAAATGAAACTCCGTCTAAAATATACTTGTAATTTTCACTACAGGGATCATTCTGGAAATTTATTCAGTGGTTCATTTCCTACTCGCTTGAGTTCCCTTGTAAAACTAAAGTCTTTGTAAGAATATATCAACAATACATTTATAAATAAATAAATAAATAAAAACTAATAATTTTTAGTAAACTAGAAAATGTAAAGCTTGTTAGCTCACATAAAAGTATTACATTTTTATTTTTTAAAAGTTACATATTTGAGATGTGTCCCACGTAAGGCGGTTTCTCATAAATATTTTTATTATTTATTAGCTAATTTAAATAAATGAAACTCCGTTTAAAATATACTTGTAATTTTCACTACAGGGATCTTTCTGGAAATTTATTCAGTGGTTCATTTCCTACTCACTTGAGTTCCCTTGTAAAACCAAAGTCTTTGTAAGTTTATGCGTAATTTATTTACTCATTTTGTTAATTAACAGGCAAAAAATACTTCTTCGTTAATTAGCAGGTAATAATTTATGTATCTTGTTTAGTGTTTAATTTCTTTTTAAAAATTGTGCACATTTTCAATCTGATATCCTCTTTATAGGCTAACAATGATTACTTCTTAATAGAAAGATATTACTCCGTACATATCATTAATACTTTTCAAAGAAAAGTAATATTTTTTTCAATAAATTAGAAAATATAATACTTATTAGCCAGTATTATAATTTTCTTAAAAGAAATTATATATTTGAGATTCGTCTCATGTTATATTTTTATATAGTATCGCATAAGTTTCTTTTTTTTTTTTTTGGATCAACAATTATTACATTTTTATGAAAAAGTATGTATTACATTTTACCAATACTTGTCAAGGAAACACGATAATTTTTAGCAAACTTGAAAATATAATACTTGTTGGCTTATAGAAAAATATTTAATTTTTGTTTACATATTTGATATTTTTTCACGTAAGATGGTATTACATAAGTTTTGAGTTATTTGTTAGCTAATTGAATAAATAAATCAAACTATGTCTAAAATGTACTTGTGGTTTCCAATACAGGGTTCTATCTGGTAATTCATTTGATGGTCCAATTCCACATCAACTAAACTCCCTTGCAAAACTAGAGCTTCTGTAAGTATATGAGTATGTAATCTATTTACTTATTTTGTAAATTAATAGGTGAGAATCATTCTATCTTATTTATTACTTTTTTCTATCACATTTTACTTGTCATGTTCGTTATTTATTAGTCAAACAAACTCTTTTTTTTCTTCGCTTATTTTCTTTTAGTATTTTCTTATAATTTTTAAAAAATTTATATTTACGTAATTTTTAAATATATAAATTTTATATGTTAATACTAAACTTAATATTATAAAAAAAAAATTAATTGTAAATAACCTAAAGTCTTATTAACCAAACCAGCCAAACACATAAAATGAAACAAATGGAGTATTTAATTTATTTAAAAAAGATTTATTCACATTTTCAATTGGATATCCTATTTTTTGGTCAATAACTATTACGGAGTACACCAAATTGTTATATCCTACACCACGGTCCATCTTACAAGATTAACCCAAATTATATCAGTTGGCTCATGAGTGACAGATTATGGACAAGGGCCATGATTGAGCCATAACAGCCGCAATGTAGGAGTTACATCCAATGTGGTGAACTCAATGCAAGCACCAGACACTGGTCCTCCCACCTAATAGGTTGAGGTGTGAGAGTCTTGGGGTAAGAGAATTCACCTTTTGTGGGCAAGGTAATTAGCCTAAACTATGACTCTGTTTGGTAGAGCTTATTTAGAAGTTTATAGCTACTAATAAGCTATAAACTCTGTTTGGTAATGTTTCCACAATAAGCTTGTAGCTTAAAATAAGAGCTTATTTTGAGACGTTACCTTAGGTAGCGTTTCAAAATAAGCTATGAGCTTCCAACTTTTTTTTTTTTTCATTTTTATCCTTATTATTTTAAAGAAATAACATTCTTTATCCTTCTCAATTTAAAAACCCTTTACTTCTTCTTTATCTGCAACTTTCAAGACAAATCCTTTATTATTATTATTAAATTTTTTTAAAGAAGGACAATTCCTTTATCCGCACCTTTATCATTATTTATTATTTTTATTATTATTATTATTATTATTATTATTTTAAGATGGATTATCTAATATATATATATATATATATATATATATATATATATATATATATATATATATATATATGATGAATAGGATGAAGATGTTATGGGATGCTAGATCGTGATTATCCTAATAATTTTATTTCAAAATGTTAAATTTTTTTGAAGACAAAATGTTAAATTTTAATATGTAAACAAACTAATTTAAATTTTATGAAGATGCCCTTTTTAGTCTTTTTACATTTATCAGCTTATCAAACAGCTAATTTTACAAAACACTTTCAAGCATAATAGCTAGCTTAACAGCTCTTCATTTTTCAGCTCCTAGATTATAGCTTTTCAACTTTCAGCTGCCTTTCAGTTAGGCTTTCCAAACATAGCCTATATCAAACAATCCCTAATTTCTCTCCCTAAATTCTTTTTAACATAAATTTACAAATATAGTTATCAAAAAAATCGCAAATATAAATTCATTAAGTCAATCCTGTAAGTTTATTAAGCTAAGTTACTACTATAAGTTCAGGAAGTAATTACAACAAGTACAATAAGTTACTGCTACGAGTTTATTTTTGCAAGTTCATAAAGTTGATATTGCAGGTTTATTAAGTAACTAAGGTATAAAATAAATGGAGCTATATATATACCGGAAATGTACTTATATAGCTCCATGAATGGAGCTATACGGGGTGTTTGGTAAATAGTTATTGGCTGATAGTTGTCAGTTGTTAGCTGATTGTGTTAGTGAGTTTGATTAATTGATAATATTGGCTGATTGTAGAAAGATGTTTGGTTAATTAGTTGTTAGCAGTTAGCAGATTATGAAAAATGACTGTCTAATAAATCTAATCGAAAAAACTGTTTTGAGCATTTTTTTTGAATTTCAAAATTTCAGAGCAATATTGTTACAAAAACACTAATTATCCAAATACTTATATGGGTTGTTTAATCAAGTCAAACAAGCTAAAATGGACTATAAGCTAACTATTTTACCAAACAAGACATGAAATCCATGTACTTATGAGTTTCATTGCAGGAACCTATCGGCTAATTTATTTAGCGGTTTAATTCCAACTCAGTTGGATTCCCTCGCAAATCTAACAGTGTTGTAAGTATATAATTAATTTATTTAGTCATTCGATTAATTTTTTTTTGAATGTAGTCATTCGATTAATTGATGGGCAACAACCTGTTCATTCTTTCTGGTTTATTATTTAATTTAGGGAAAATTGCATTTTACGTCCCTAAGTTATAGGGTAATTGTAGAATTCGTCCTTGAGTGTTGGTCATGCTCAACTTTCGTCCCTAAGTTATCATTAGTGTTGCACTTTTTGTCCCTGAGTTATAGAGTAATTGTAGAATTTGTCCCCGAGTGTTGTTTATGCTCACTTTGCGTCCCTAAGTTATCATTTGCGTTGCACTTTTCGTCCCTGAGTTATACTAAAATTGCAATTTTCGTCCCTAATCACTACTACATAAATGGTATACTACGTCACTTAATAGACAGATGTTTTTAAAATAACCACCTTCTTATATATTTTGTTATACTACGCCATTTAATAGACAACGGGTTTTTAAATAACCGCCGTATATAACTTAATTAATTTTTTTTTACGTCATACACTTTAAATAACCACCGACGATTTTTTTACACATACACGACAATTTTTGAAGTGTCGCGCGTGTAAGTGACTGCCGTTGTAAATATACACTTTCTACGACGGTTTTGGAAATCGTCGTGTATGTTAACTATATACGGTGGTTAAAAAACTGTCGTGTATGTCAACTACATAGGTAGTTATTTAAACAACCGTCGTCTATTAAGTGACGTAGTATAAGTGTATAACACAATATATTAGACAACGGTTATTTAAAAAGTGACATAGTATACAATTTATGTAGTAGTGATTATGGGCGAAATTTGCAATTTTAGTATAACTCAGGGATGAAAAGTGCAACGTCAATGATAACTTAGGGATGGAAAGTGAACATGACCAACACTTAGGGACGAATCCTACAATTACCTTATAACTCAGGGCCGAAAATTGCAACGCCAATGATAACTTAGGGACAAAAAGTGAGCATGACCAACACTTAGGGACGAATTCTACAATTACCCTATAACTTAGGGATGAAAAGTGCAATTTCCCCTTTAATTTATTTTCAAAATTTATGTATATTAATCCAGGGACCTTAGTAACAATAACCTCTCTGGTCCTCTGCCCTATCAGCTTGAAAATCTAGTTCTTCTTGAATATCTGTAAGTATGTATGTAAATAATAATGTTTGCTTGCCTTAATCAGTCATCTGCTCTGCTAATTAATTATTTCTTCAGCAATGTTCAAGGGAACAACTTGAGTGGACCAATCCCAGATTTCATTGGACAACTACAAAACCTCACATATTTGTAAGGCATATATATATATATATATATATATATATATATATATATATATATAGAATTACATTCATGTAAAAACAAGGCTTAAAATACAAACCTGTGGATAATTCTGGATCGTTGGATTTTGAATATCTAAGGTTGTGATTAGTTTTGATGTTTTTGTGTGCTGTGTCCGCCTGTGTGCACTGTCGTTCATGGGCGTGTGCACACTGGCCCAAATACTGTGGATTCACACATACATATTACGGATGTGTGCACACCGACATTTAGGTTTGTGCACTGTCGTCCACAGATGTGTGCACACCTGCATTTAAGTGTGTGCACGGTATATGTCCACATGTTTGTATTTTAAAGGTGTTTGCATTTGAATGCAACCCTATATATATATATATATATATATATATATATATATATATATATATATATATATATATATATATAGCACCAAACGCAATTGATATGATGAAACTTAATTGTAGTTTTATATATATTATGATGGATATGATGGAATGATGGATCGAGTAGGTCTCTATTGGAAAATAATTTCAAAGGTCCTCTCCCTGTTGTTGCATTTTCAAACTTGACAGATCTTAATGACTTGTAAGATCGAACGACCAAGCTTGCTTGATTATTGTAATAAATTTATTTAACGCATCTTATTTTCATCTTGTATAAATAAATAAACAAATATATATATATATATATATATATATATATATATATATATATATATATATATATATATATATTGCGCAGGCATGTAGCGACTTAGTCGGAGGAGGAGAGTCGCAGTTTCCTAATTTTACAAATATGGATTCCTTGAACTCTCTGTAAGCTTTCATTTCTCACATACTTTAATCTGCTCCTTTTGCTTTGAATTGAAGCTACTAATATATATACTGCTCATCTACCTGTTCTCGATCAGGACATTAAGGAAATGTTAACTTGTTGGCCCTATTCCTGACATCATCTGGAATCTAAGCAATCTGTATTTGCTGTGAGTTATTCGCAAATTAAATTATGGGCATCATATCATTGCAAAAAAGTTAATCTCAGCTCTCTGAAATGAAACCACTTATGAACAGTTTGCTATGTTTAATTTTGATTATTTTCATTTTATATATTTTCCTTCAGGGACTTGAGTTTCAATAGTTTGTTTGGTCAAATTCCAAATCATTCCACCCTCACCCCACCAATGCACATGTAAGCAAGTTTGCATAAACATATCATATCCATTGCTTTCACAAAAACAATATATATATATATATATATATATATATATATATATATATATATATATATATATATATATATATATATATATATATATATATTGGGGTGATCACATGTGGCCATGTTGTTAGGTGTGATCATATGGTCAATTACAGACCATTATATTAGATAGATACAATGAATCACATTAATCAAGATTCTTTCAGTATTTTCGCCCACATTCTCCTACGGGTAAACTCGTCATAAGGCACCGGAATAGGGAAAATCACATTGTTGTGTGTTTTATTTGTGTAATTGGTGCATTATTAGCCTTACTCTAGTGTATTTGTAGATTCACATGACCACATATGAGCGCTCTTTTATATATATATATATATATATATATATATATATATATATATATATATATATATATATATATATATTGTATTTCTTATTGTCGAGTCTGCTACATGCGTCAAAGTAAGCTAGACTTGCTAGAATCTTAATTTGAATTGTTTTTTCAGATTTCTCCAAGGAAATAAGCTTAATGGGACAATTCCAACCTGGATAATCAATTCGACTATGAATATGTAAGTGCTTGGATTCCAAACAAAAACTATATATATATATATATATATATATATATATATATATATATATATATATATATATATATATATATATATATCCACTTTTTGGCTATGATAAAATGAACATTAATAAAGAATTGCAGCTGATGTCTAACGATTTTGGCCACAATATTTGATCTCGATCATGTAGGCTGGATTTGAACCGAAAGTGTTAGGCCCAGTCATCACTTGTTCTTGTTCTCATCTTATTCCATTCCATCGAGACATAACCCAAAACATGTAACGTAAATTTAACATGTAATGGACAATTTTATACAAGAATGTGTAGAAAGGCATTGCCATTACCCTTTTCTCAAATGTGTAACGCTTTGCTCTTAATTTATTGTTTACTTTTCATTTAATGCAGCGATGTGTCTGAAAATCTTTTCACAAACAATGTTGCAGAAATTCAAAATTTGGATTCAAACTCATCTAACTTGTGAGGATTTCTAATTGACACGACGCCTTTCTTTATTATGCCATTTTCCCTATCTAGATGTTTTGTTTTTTCATACTTTGGATCTTTAATTTCTATTGCAGGAACTTTTTCTCATCCCTTAATTCTAGTGATGGGTAAGCACTTGGTGGACACTCAAAAAACACAAAAATGTAAATGGTTTTGATCTTGTTTTTGTGTTCATTTTGATATTTTAGGGGTACACACTGGGAACATGTTGGCTATAACTGCAGCAGCGGCCTAAAAAACCAATGTAAGTATATTAATAACTGCAGCAGCGACCTAACAAAAACATTTATTTCAAATATAATGACACTCTTAATTTTTTTTATTTTTCCATTGCAGTAAAGGACCATCTATTTATAAATTGTGGTGGTGAATCAATGCAAATAAATGGAAGTATTTATGAAGGCGATCTGAATTCAAATGGAAGTTCAACTTTCTTTCTGAGTAGCAGTTCAAGATGGGGTTATAGTAGTATGGGATCCTACTCATCAATAAACGACAAATACATAATGAATAATGGTGATGAGCCTCTTTACAGTACAGCACGTGTATCCCCAATCTCCTTGAAGTATTATGGATTTTGTTTAAGGGATGGTGAATATACTGTGAGACTTCACTTTGCTGAATTACTTAGATACAACAACTATAAAACCCCATATCTCAACAAATCAGGTCGAGTTTTTGACGTGGATATCCAGGTATATGTATATATATTGCATTATATATATCATGCTGATAAACTGGAATCTTGAAAGGTGTTTATGATTGCAGGGAAAGAATGAACTTAAGGATTTCAACATAGAAAAGGAAGCAGAGGGTGTAAATAAGGCTTACACTAAGGAAATAGGAAATGTTATAGTTAACAATAGTCGACTGGAGATTCACTTATATTGGTCAGGGAAGGGTTCATTGATGTACCAAGGTCCACTTATATCTGTTGGAAAAATAGCATTAAAATGGCATAAAATGACATGTTAAGTGGCTATTTTGTGGTACAATTATCAGTGGGGTTCACTTCCGATTTGGATCGGGTCAAAGTGGATTCGGATTCTTCGTAGTGAGACGAAGAGATTGATATATTGTACGCTCAAAACGGATAATGGGTGAATGAGATATTGATTCTCAAAGTAGACCCATTGAGTTGGAAAATGTAAGGTAAAAGTGAGCTTTGTCCCACATTGATTTGGAAAGAGGATTTCACTCCCCTTTTATACAAGAGCTTTTTTTTTAGAGCTTGTAGAATTGTATAGCATAGAGGCTCTCTCGCGCGGGGAGGTGAGGGGGGGGGGGTGCAAATCAAATTCCAACTAGAGATGACTTCGGAGAGGCTTGATTCAAGCCCGAGCTCGTGTGCGCCGGCACGAATGTCGTCCGGAAATTGGCTGGCCTTGCGGGCTAAGTTATGCCAACTTCAGCCATGCGGGCTAAGTTATGCCAACTTTCGGTATCAGTTTTCCAAACTCTAAGCCAAGCCTGGGTTCGACCTGGCCCGAGAGCATTAGGCCGAACAGAGAACGAGCAGCACGAGAGGTGCTCTCGTGTGCGCTGGCCGAGACCAAGCAACACGAGAGTTGCTCTCGTAGCATGCAGCACGAGAGTTGCTCTCGTGCGCTGCGGCTGAACAGCACTTCGGTCTACCAGAGCTATTTCTGGATTCATCCGTTACAGGAATTAATCTCTGTATTAATTCATTTTGAATTTTGAATTAAACCTGCACTAATGACCAGCTGTTTCAGATGTTACCAACGTGCCATGAATGCCTACTAAATGCTATTTAGTACTCCAATTCCTATATAAGAAGAGGTAGTAGGAGCAAGTGATTTACAACAAGTGTGGGAAGAACACGAGAGTACACAACACACAAAGATAAGCAATTTTCCTTCTCAAAACCTTTGCTCCTACTCCTTCTTTCTTGCTACTGTGTTTTGCCCGTGCTCTAGTTCGCCGGGTTCGTTCGTTTGGGTGCTCAAACGTCGAATCGTTGTACGTTTTATCCTGGGAAACCTAGGCCACAACGCTCCTAGCACTTTTGGGAGGTGGCAAATAAGGTTTTAAGGAAAGACAGACACTTTGCCTAACTCGTACCTTCTTTCTTCTTCTTTCTTGTTTTGGATTATGCTCTAAGCAAAAATTCGTTCTTTCTTGTTGTTTTGGAATTATAATCTAAGGATTATATTTTCTTTTTGGTTGATATATATTGGTATATCTTTTTCGTAGATATACATGTATATATAACCGTTTGGTCCGTTATATATATATATATATTTGTGTGTATATATATATATTTCGGATATATATCCAATAATATTTTATATATATTTCGTGTGTATATATATAAATATTATTTTACGGATATTAAATCGATTGTGGTTCATTATCACCAACAATCTTAAAACCTTATTAATTTTGATAATGAACAAGTCGATGGATTCCAAAAGTGTTGGATCCGTGAATGTTGCCGGAGGTGCACATTCAAATGGTAGGAATGGCAACGATGTTGCACATTCCGTGATGCCAGTTGACGGCAGCAACGTTGGAAATGATATTTCCATGGGAGTTGCAAAGACACACGATGGTGCTCCGGAGAACTTTGGTTCACGATCCGGTAGACCTGTGGCTAATGGCACACAATTGGTACCTATTGTGTTGTCTAGTGGATCGGCTAAAAGCCACGAAGGATCCTATGATGCTGTGATCACTACATGGTCTGAGGACTATTGTAGTGTGACCAATGACTTCAACCGTAGTTAAAGGAAACTTTGATTGTCAAGGTTTTTTTTTTTTTACCATCTTTGATTGATCACTTTATCATGTCTATTGTCTAGCAGCAGTAAATTAAACAACAGTAGTGTTTTCTCATCACAGGTTCAGAGAGGTCGAGATTAGATTGGGCAAAAAGGCTCAACATTTGCCTTGGCATAGCAGAAGGTCTAGCTTTTCTTCATGAGGGCAAGCAGAAAAATGTTCATGGAAATATCAAACCAACCACCATTTTTCTTGACAAACATGACAATGCTAAGATATCTGACTTTGGATTTTCCATGCTCCATGACCAGGGAAAGTCACGCGAGGAAGGAACAGTGTAATTGGTCCTTCATATTTTTCTGGACAAATCTTTCTCAAACTTGTAAATAAGTAAACAATCAAATAGCCAATTAATAGGTTCTCACTTGAACGCATTCTGATCGATATTGCAGGGTATACATGACACCTGAATACGCAAAATATGACCTCTTAACAACAAAGGCAGATGTGTATAGCTTTGGAGTTGTTGTACTTATAGTTGTGAGTGTAAAGAAAGAAAAGATTTCAATGTCTAGCAGCGGGGCTGACACCGAGTACCTTCCAAATCTCGTAAGGACTCAAACTTTTTTAATTATATCGTTGTGAGTAACGTAATCATATGATTGTGTGTATGATTGCAGGCGGCACGTGAAAAGCAAAGAGAAGGGCATTTTATGAACCTAGTTGACAAAACCATATCTAACACAGTGGATTGGAATCAAGCAGATACAACGTTAGAACTAGCCTTGCTGTGCTTGGACCAGTACCCAGATCAAAGACCATCCATGTCTCAAGTTGTGAAGGTTCTAAAGGAACAGCTCCCATTGAAGGATCTAAAGGAAAGTTTAAAGCAGCAATCTTCTGTCAGAGAAACTCAACCACATGGTGAGATTTCCACAACTCACCATTCAAAATCGAGGAGCACTTCAAGGGGTGGGATGACAGACACCAGCGTTTCTGCTTCTCCCAGTAGCACTGCTTGAAGAACAACACTACAAATCTACGCTGCTTTTCAGTTGTCTCTCTTCTCTTGCTAGTTTGTTTTGCTTTTGTGAAATAGTTGTGATATATGCCATGCATGTACAGTGCTATTATTTTATATTTTTCCACTTTGTAAACTGTATGTGTGTTGTGTTTCAGCACCCTCAAAATTCAAGTTATTGGAGCTTTGAGAATTGAGAATTTTTTTCTTTTCTTTTTACCATTTCATACTTCACAAGGTAAAAGATTGAATATAACATTATCACAGTGGCGCCCCTACTATTGAGATTCGATAACAGAGGTGCCATCAAGCTACCATAAAGAACACTTTCATTAAAGCAATATTTAAATAGTATTACAACTAAACTGATGTTTGTCCATTGTAATTTATCTTCTCTTATAGTTATGTTCGTGTTATTATTATCATTTTTTCTTTTATAAAATCTAAACATTATGATTATATATATAGGCAGAAATTCTTATGAGACATGAAGCGAGTCGGGTTATTTATGAATATTACATTTTCCATCATAAATCTTTAACCCTTACATATTACATTTTCATTCAAAAACATTACATTTTTCTTCAAAAAGTATCATACATTTAGTTTTACACTTTCTCTTATAACTTGTAAGTAACAATAAATTTTTCCCTAATTAGTAGTTCGTATTACATTTCCTTCTGGACCCGATCTTTCTCATTATCCCTAACTCTCTGAGAAGGTCTCATAAAAAAATCCACAACATAGTTTTTTCAAAGGAACCTTTTCTTGTTGAAAGATGAAAAAATAGACTTCAAGTACTCTATCTCTATAACAAGTTTCCAGTCTCTACTCTGTAGATTTCACTACAAAAACCTCTCTACACTCCAAAACTTCTAAACATATATTTACTCACTAAGACAATCACTATGATAAGTGTAAAAAAGAAGACCAAAACACTATAGCAGCTAGCTAGTCAGATAATGAATACCATGAAGGCCGGGGAATGGTCGAATTGTGGGATGGCAATGCCCCTCGAGCTGTACAAGTGATAAGCAGAAAAACGGTATAAATATTTCATTTGGATTGTGATGCGTAGTATATTAGCAAACAAATAATTCTCGGAGTACGAGTTATCGATTCACAGGGAAGTGGTTGTATAAAGCACTCGTTACT